TTTTAATTCCGTGCGGATGGAGTTGCGGGCGCCAGCCAGTATAAAATACATAATTGTAACTCGTTATTGAAAAAAACAAAATATTTCTCTACAAGGTTCTTTCCAGCCTGACACAAAATTACATTCACCAATCTGTCAGAAAACAATAAATAACTTAAAATACAGCACCTTCAGATATTGTCATATCCTGTGTTACGTCAGACTCGCATTCTTCGATAATTCATGTTTTTATCATTATTACGATCAAAAGTAATAAACGATAAAGGGCATTATTATATTTGAATGGTCAAATTGATTATAAATTTAATTATATACAACGCATATACCAACCATGAAAGCATCGTGCTCTCGAGCAACCGTCTAAGGATATTTTTATTCCGTTCAAACTATCAAGATTTGAAGGTTGGCAACCCTATATGACTTACTCATGTAGGGTTGTCAACCTTGACATTTTAAAATTGAAGAATTTAAAAACGAACGCACACTATATTACTACTAATATTATAAATGCCAATGTTTAGATGGATGGATGTTTGTTTGTATGTATCTCCAGAACGGTTGCACGGATCTCGCTGAAATTTGTCATGAATGTAGGACATAGCTTAGAAGGCTACAAACTATTTTTTTTTAAATCCGCGTGTACGGAGTCGCGAGCGACAGCTAGTATATACATGTATTAAAAAATACTAGACTTAACCCTGTAACGCTCTATTTACTTTGATTTATGGCTTTGTCACTGAAAAAAAATGAGATAAACATAATTTGTAAACACTTTTATGGAATGTTGTATCGAAATGGTCATATCTTTATAGCTCCTCGAGAATTCATTTCGTAATCACGTGAGTAAATACTTTTTAAAATTAAGTCTTCAATAAGAAACAACAATATTAGACTAATCTACACTAAATCTATTTTAATATTTGTTTTGAGAATGACAAAAATTTCTCGGGATATTCCTATCCTATTCTGTTTGCATTGTCTTCTGGCTATAAACGATAGACAAAATAAGATTAATTTGTATTTATGAAGTAACTAACTGCTGTCCGCGACATCGTCGCGGTATAAAAAAATAATTAGTAGTCTACGTGTTCTTCGAGACTATGTTCTATTTATGCCTTTCAGCGGTGTCAATACAGCCGTTTTGCAGATATCTTTTAACAATCGACATCACAGGGGACCGAAGAGCTGGCAGCTACCTCGGTCAAAGAATTAGTTTAGCTGTCAAAAGGGGGAACGCTGCCAGTATCTTCGGGACCTTGACTAAAGGGACTCCTTTTAATAACATATTTTAGTAAATTATTCGTTTTTTTTTATATTTTATTTTATGTCATAGATTTAAGACTATTCGTTAGATTTATAACAGAAGGGGGGAAACGAACAGCGGGAACACCGAGGTGTTCAACGACGCCCATGGACATCAGCAATACCAGAGGAACCGCAGATGCGTTGCCGGCCTTTGAGGTGGTCATAAGCTCGCTTCTTGAAGGACCCTAAGTCGTAGCGGTTTGGAAATACCGCCGAGGACGGACCATTACAACGCTGCTGTGCGAGGCAGGAAGTTTCGCGCAAACCGCACGGTTGTGGATTGCCAGCCATCGAGATGGTGTGGATGGAACCTTTTTTTTTTTTTTTTTTTTATAGTCAGGAAATGCATTTACGCACGCCTACGCCGGGCGGTGCAATGGCGTAGGGAGTGTGGGACTCGCCGGCCACAGAAGGTGACCAGAATACCCACTAAAACCTGACTGCCCTCTGACGCATCGGGACGGGACCACGGGCACGCTTTCGCTCTCGTCCGCGGCCCCGTCTGCGCCAGCTGCCGAGGCAGCTCCCTCACGAGGGGGGGGGGGGAGAAGGCCGCCCTCAGTCGCTGGTGATGGTCTCCCCCGTGTCCATCACCAGAGGGCTATTGTGGGAGGGGGAGGGCGGCAATATACTGCCGCCTTCTCCGCCCCACTCTCCTACGTCTGAGCGGGGGCGCCAGGGGATTTCCCTCACGCTCCCGCTCTTTTGCCTCCTTCTGCGAGATGACTGACTCACAGAAGGAGGCAACCGCTGTCCATGACCTCTCGCTTCCCAGCATGGCGCGTATGACGCCGGGAAGCGAGAGGTCGCTTCCGATAGTCGCCACCAGGGTGCGGCGCTCCTCTTCGTGGGCACAGCACACCTCCAGGGTGTGCTGCGCAGTGTCCTCATCGGCGCCGCACCCATGGCACGACGACGTCTCCTCCCTTCCAATCCTCCACAGGTACCGCCCGAAGCAGCCGTGTCCGGACAGCACCTGTGTCAGACGGAAGGTGAGGGAGCCATGGCTCCTCCCGAGCCAGTCCGGGAGCTGTGGGCGAATGGCCTCTATAGTGCGCACGCCGTATACGGCGCGCGCTAGGCCAACCGCCCAGAGCTCCACGGTCGTCTTCTTCCTCCTCTCCCGGGCACGGGCAAGCTCTTCCGGGGCAGGCGTGTCGCCCCGGGCTCTCTGCTCAGCCCGCACCCAGTACTCTTCGGCCAGCACTGCCGCCTCTATCTCCCAGGGGGAGTGCCGGCCAGAAGGCAGGCCGCAGCGTGGCCCACCGTACGGTAGGCCCGGCATACTCGCGTCGCAATGACGCGCTGCGGCCCGCGGAGGAGGGCCCTGTTCGGCGCGTTTAGGGCATTAGCCCATATCGGCGCGCCGTACAGGGCCATGCTTTTGACGACCGTGGCGTACAGCTGTCTGGCATGCACGCCCGGACCCCGCAAGTTCGGAAGGAGCCTCGACAGGGCTGAGGCCGCGCCCACGAGCCTGGGGGCCAGCGTCCGGAAATGGTCTCGGAACCGCCAGCCCCCGTCGAGGACAAGGCCAAGGTACTTGATTTTTCCCTTGACCCTTACCTCGTTTCCGCTGACCCGGAGCGAGGCGCCCGCAGGGACCCTCCACCTTGGCCCTTTAAAACAAAGGGCCTCGGTCTTGTCGAGGGCCACTCGGAGTCCGAGCGCCTCGATCCTCCGGGTCACCATTGTGGCTCCGGCCTCAGCCCTCCTCTTCAACCGACTCCAGGTGGTGTCCCGGACGGCTACCAGCGTGTCGTCTGCATAGCAGATGACAGCCATCCAGGACAGCACCTCTCCGCGGATGGCCCAGTCATATCCGATGTTCCATAACAGGGGGCCTAGTACGGACCCCTGTGGAACACCGGAGGCCATCCGCCTCTCCTCTCTCCCGCTGCTCCCCATGTAGGACACTACCCGATCTTGGAGGTAGTGTCCTACGACTCTCCGCAGGTAGGGGGGCACTCCGTGATATCGCAGTGCCTCCCCTATGACCTCAAAGGGGAGGGAGCCGAAGGCATTGGCGATGTCTAGTGACACCGCCATAGCCCCCTGCCCCCTCTGGGCCGCTTCCTCCGAGAACTTCTTCAGGGCGGTCAGGGCATCCATAGTGGATCTCCCCGACCGAAACCCAAATTGGTTCTCGGAGAGTTGCGGCCCTTCCCTTGCCAGGTGCTGGATGATCCGGGAAGCCAACACTTTTTCCAGTAGCTTCCCGGTCTCATCCAGCATCACCAGCGGTCGGTACCCTGACGGAGAGTCCGCCGTCAAACAGTCGTTGAACAGACGGCGTAGGCGATCCCCGAGGTGTTTGAGCGCGATGGGGAGCACTTTACCGGGCACACCGTCTGGGCCCGGGGCCTTCCGGGGCCCACGGAGCCGGCAGGCCGCCCTGTCCATTTCCTCCTCCGTTATTGGAGGAGCGTCTAGGGCGGCGTCGTCCTCGTCCTCAATGTCCAAATTTGACATGCGCGGTGGTACGAAAGAGGGTCTGGCTGGAAACAGACCCTCGACCACCGCGCTGAGGACGGCCGGCTCCATGTCTTCCGTAGGGGGCGCCACCTTTAGTTTTCCTCTGACCATTCGGTAGGGGCGCCCCCACGGATCCGTATCAAGGGTCGCCAAGAACTCCGCGCAAGCAGAGTCCTTGGCGGCCCCGATAGCTGCTGCGAGCGCCTTCTTGGCCGCTCGCATGTCGGCCTGAAGGCGCTCCAGCTCGTCCAGTTCCCGGTGCCGTCTTCTACGGCACCGGGTGAAGGCGCGGCGGGCGGCATTGCTGGCGGCGCGCAAGACCGCGAGGTCCTGCGTCCACCAGTACACGCCCCCCCGTGGTGCAGGGCGGCGAGCCCTAGGCATCGCCGCGTCGCAGACCGCTGTCAAGTCTCGACGGAACCTGGCAGCCCTTTCGTCGACCCCCACCATTGGGGGGGGGTCCGTAGCCCATGCGCGGACTACGGCCTCTTCTTCTGCCAGGTCCGCGTCAAGACGTGACAGCTGCCATTTCGGGAAGGCGCTTCGGCCGCCCGCCGCCCGGGCCCGCAGCCCAAGGGGCGCGTTGGAGACCCTGAACCTGATGTATAAGTGATCAGACAGGGTCTCTACGTCTTCCAGGACCCGCCAACACGCGATGCGCGCGCCTATGCCAGGGGTGGCGAAGGTAACATCTACCACTGAGCCCCCCTGGGCGCGCACGCACGTGAAGGCGTGGCCCTGGTTCTCCGGGGCCAGGCCGATCATTATAGCCCAGTCCCGGAGAAGCGCCCCTTTGGCATCGGTGACGGGGGACCCCCACGCCGCGCACTTAGCGTTGAGGTCCCCCATAAGGATGACCTGTGCCGGCGATGCCCTTCGCACCACCGGCTCCAGGCCATCCAGGAACCTCTCAAAGTCAGAGAGGCTCCTGTTTGGGGAGAAGTACGTTCCTATAATCACTACTTCTCCCCAGTTTACCGCCACATATCCAGCGCCCCTCTCCCTGAGAGAGGATCGCTGGGTACCCGTGGGTGCCACCACCACTCCGACTAAGCCCTCTGTGTCCCCGGCCCAGTTCGGGTGGGGGGGGACCACATAGGGCTCAGTCACGACCGCAACGGCAATTCTCCACTGCGCCAGGACCTGCGTGAGCAGGTCCTGTGCGCGGGCACAGTGGTTGGCGTTCGTCTGGAGGAATTCAGCATGCAGGTGTCTGGGCATTAGGACACCTGCATGCTTTCCTCGTCATCCGTCGGCGGCACCCGTGCTGTCGGCGGCGGCGGCTTAGGGGGAGTCTTCCCCTTCACTTTGGGCGGAGCGCATTTTGCTCCTCCCATTATGTGTTTATGTGGGCACCCTGCCTTGGCGCACACCGCGCAATTGGCAGGGGCCTCACACGTGGCCGCCTTGTGTCCCTCTTGGCCGCAACGGAAGCAGAGACGACCGTTCTCTGCCTCCGTTGGGCATAGGGCGCGGGTGTGGCCCAGCATCATGCATCTGTAACAACGCATCGGCCGGGCCTCCACCGCGGAAATGGTGGCCATACTCCACCCTATGGCCACCTTCCCTGTTTGTACGGCAGCCTTTGCAGCCGCCGCCGGGCACCGCACAATTGTCGCGCCTCCACCCCAGTAGCTTTTTCGGATGCGGCCAACTTTGACAGCGCCGGGAGGGCAGTTCCCAGTCGCTGCCACCTTGGCCGCCACTTCCTTGCACGTCACCGTCTCGTCCAAGCCTGAAACCCTGAGGTCCACAAGCTTGGACGGACGGGTGACGTCTGCCCAAGCACCGATCACTCTGACGAGTTCAGCGGCGAGGCGGTCTGCAGTCTCCTCAGGGGCGGCCCCCCCTACCTCCATCAGTTTGGAGCCGGTCATGCTCGTGCGCACCTTGACCGACTCCAGGCCGAAGTCACTGAGGCGGATGGAGGTTCTGGCCTTGGTCAGAACCTCGGCATAGGTGGCCTCAGAGACCTGGCCCTCTGCTGACGTGGTCGTGGCCCCCTTCTTTAGTGTGACCGTTATGGCCGCCGTTTTGGGGGCCACGATCTTAACAGCCTTAGGAGGGGGGGGCCGCTGCGCCTTCCCAGGTTGGGCCGGTGCTGTCGGAGGGGGCCCTGCTTGGGTCTTGCCCTTCGCTTTCTTCCTCTTTTTCCGGCCGACCACCTTCGACCACGGTACCGGAATTTCGGCCGTCGCAGCCGCTCTAGGGGGGCCATCCGCGTCCTGGCCAGGAGGAGGAGGGGGAGGGGCGGGCGGCCTCGCCTTCCCCCTCTGAGCTTGTGGATCCTGGCCCGGCCGTGCCACCTCCCTCGCAGCACCAGACTGGGCTTTGGGTCGAGGCGGCGGAGGCTGCCTCCTGTCCGCACGGAGGGGCGGTCTAGTCACCGGCTCTGGGGGAAGGCGCCCCTCTAAGCCTTGTAGGCGGGCATTGAGCATCCCGCCTACGGACTCAAGGAGCTCGCGCTTCATCTCCTCCATGGCGTCCCGTAGGCTTGGCTCCGGTTGGGCCTCCCTTGCGCTGGTCGCCGGCCTCTTCTGCGACTCAGCGTAAGCCTCCTTGAACGCGCGGAGCTCCCCGCGCATCAGCTCCAGCTCACGAGCGAGTCTAGCGTTTTCCGCGCGGAGCCGGCGCTGTTCCTCTTCCGGGGTGATGGCGCGTAGACCCTCGACCGCCTGGATCACCCCCTGCGTGGCCTTGTTGAGCTGGCCCAGCGCCGTCCCTTTTATGCTGCCGCTCTTCTTCAGCTCCCCCTGAATCTTCGTCACATTCAGGAGGGCTTTCGCAGCCAGGGCCTCCACGGTGGCAGCACGCTGGGAGGTGGTGCTGGGCTCGCCTGCCTCTTCAGTTTCAGGCGGCAGCCGCCTTGCAGGCCGGGACGGGAGGTCAGAGCTCTCTGCTCCGCTCTCCTCGCCCCCCGCCAAGTACGCCTTCGCAGCGGTCAAAAATTGATACGCGCCTGGACGTTTGGCTCGGCCCCTCACTGCTGATGACACTTTGGTGGCCACCGCAGGGTCCACCGTTCCCTCCTCTTTGCCTGCCCTCCTCTTCCTCAACTCCGTTGGAAATCGGAGGGCAACCTTCGCAGCTGGCGATTTTTGGCTGTGGCTACGCAGTGTTCGCGTAGCTGCCACTTCCTCGCTGTCAACCTCCGAGAGGGACATTTCGGAGGACGAGGACAATATATTAATGTCCTCTACCTCGTCTCTCCTCTCCTCTCTCTCTTCCTCTACTTCACTTCGCGCATCGCGCCGCCTCCCTTCTTCCTCATTTTTGTTTTTATTTTTAATTGGTTCCATTCTGAATCCCACGAGTAGGGTCGATCTACACTCCACCACCGGGTGACGCCCATTCCGCATGGTGGGGCTACTTACTGCAGAGGTCGCCAGGTATCTGCAGGTTTTTACGACTATTCTGTCGGGTTTTTATAGAGTTTTCCTTTCTCGTGGGCCGGCCGGTTAAGGCAAGCCCTCCGCTCCTGTGGTCCCAACGTACTCCATAACGCCAGTTTGAGGGAGATCGTTGAAGGAACCACAGGGTTACGGGTATGCTAGAGGGGTCGGC